GATGGATGGATGGATGGATGGATGGATGGATGGATGGATGGATGGACTGTAAATTCTGTTTAAAATAAAAAAAAGTAAAACAAAGATAAAAATAAAAAAAAAAACGTTCCAGAGACTAGCCTTTAGCAAATAAGTGGATTCTTATTAAAAAGTATTCTGGGCAATAAATTAGGAAACAAATAAAAATAATAATAATACAGTATATATTCAAACCATCACAGTTAAATCTACTAATTCAGCTTCTTTAAACACCTAAAATCTGCAACTGCTGTGACAAAAAAAGATAAAAAACTGACGTCAGATAAAACTGCTGCTAAATCTGCAAGGAATAACAATTACCACCTTGTGGAAGGAGCTGGAGACTTGTCTGACAGAAGCAAACCAGGCAGGGGGCAGAGAGCTGTGCCACCCTAAATCCAAAGAGAAATCTTCTGACATGTATGTCAATTCCCAACATCTACTCACACCCAAAACGGTGTGGTGCAGGGTGTAGAAGGAAACACTTTCTGTCCTAATCAAATGCTACTTTTTCACACTCAAGAAGGGGCCACCAAAAGACAAGGGACAGAACGAGGAACATAGCTGGACGGTAAAAAAAGTTGTTGCATCTATCACCTTTGAAAATCACACAAACACAGGTTCACTTTAAAAAGAACTACAAGGTGAGAACGGCCATGTTTAACTATGTTGCACCTACAGAGATTTGACTCCTGCTGTGGAGAGGGCGAGCAACACCCCAGCTTGATTAGCGCATGACAAGAACACTGTCCGACTTTGACTACGTGTTAAAGTCAGGAGTTAAAAAAAAGTTTGAATAAATAGAACAAAAGTTTTTTGTTGTTTTTTTAAGAGTAAAGAGGACGCAGAAAGAGAGATTCAAACAGCGAACACCATTTAGACCCTCCATTCCGGACGGCTGTATCACACTTGGGTAGAGCTAAACAAATATTAATAACAATCTTTGATATTACAAAAGACCAGGTAGTCTGAATTATATTGATCAGTTGATTATTGGGATACTGTATGGGTGAGTTCCATTTGTTCTGGTTAGTTTTAGAGCTCGTTGTACCTGCTGCAGTTCATGAATTGTAAATTGTTCTCCGTCAATCAGAGAACAAGAACCTGAGCAGTGTTATAGCATTCACCTACTTAAACACACGTCTTATGTTCACAGTGAAGCTGTGTAGAAAACAGCTGAAGACGTGCTCCCGTCAAACGTTTAACTGCTGTGGTGTTTTATGCATTAAGGTTTGTCTTTGCACTGACACTGGCACAAATTATCATCGAAACAAACGAGAGACAAACGAGTAAGAAGAAAAACTTTCATAGAAATTAAAGCTTGAATAAATATTCTAAAATCTGTTTAAAAATATTGCAAAATAAAAAATTCAGGATGACAAATTTTGTGCACAATTGTATTTTAGACACGTTTGGATGGCAGCATCCATCTGCTAAAATCAGTGGCGGTGCCAGGGGGATGCTAGGGGGTGCTATAGCGCCCCCTGGAAAAGTCTTGGCACCCTCGTAGCACTCTCAAGAAAATATCAGATTATTTTCTTTTTC